CTGTGAGAAAACTTGTCCAAAGTGACATTAACAGGCTAAAAATACCATCTTGAGCTGAAATCACAACTCAAAAATGAAAACAGGGCAGTAAGAGCGTGAATTTTTTTCCTTTCAAAATTTCCCATCATTGCCATAAAATTGATTACGAAAGAAGTTTAAACTGTGTTTCAACATCCCCTTGGAAATTCTCGTGGACAGTGGAAGGCCCTCGATGGACATGGAAACTGAAGATTTCTCCTCAGCCCTGTACGACCCGTGGGTCTACCATTTCACCCTGCAAAATTCGCAGTGACTGTCGCTTGGTTCTGCTTCATTCATCTCAGCTTGTTGTAGATGTGACCTTGAAGATCCTAAGCTAGGAGGCAGAATTTTATTATTATTATTATTTTTATTACTTCATATTATGTTGGTACAAATATTGTTAGGGTTACATATCTTGCCCCTGCCCCCTAGGAGGCAGAATTTACCAACCACTCTTGCCATTATTATTATTACTATTATTATTGTTATTATGTTCCCTATACATGTGGAGACCCATGTGGTTCAGGCTAAGAACAGGTTACATTCATAGTATAATATACAAAAGTAATTTAAATGTAACTAAAATGCTATATCTGTATCTCTCAGAGCAGTGGTCCCCAGCCTTTTTGGCACTAGGGACCAGGTTCATGGAAGACAGTTTTTCCACGGATGGTGTGTGTTGGGGGGAAGCGGAGCTCAGGTGGGTGATATGAGCAGTGGAGAGCGGCTGTAAATAGGTTGGCTCACCTGCTCACCTCCTGCTGTGTGCCTTCCCTCTCACTGCCTGGCACCACTCCCCTTTCCTTAGTCTCATGGAAAACAATTTTTCTACAGACAGGGGTAAGGAGGGTGAGGGTGGAGCTCTGCAGCCAGGTCCCTAACAGGCCATGGATCTGGTACTGGTACTTGGCCCAGGGTTGGGGACTACAGTCTTAGAGAACATCAAAGGTTGAGTCCACTCATGATCTATCACAATACTTTATAAACTTCTCTCTCTCCATGCCCCCAACATTGCCATGTGGGTTCTCTCTGTCTCTCCCTAACGTCTCTTCCCATCCCTAATTATGGAATTACTATGTGCTCTCTTCTAACATGAAATAATACTTCTTTTTTAGGAAGAGAGTGAGCACATACAAGGTTTAGTAGGCAGGTAGAGAGGGAGAAATCTGGAGACAATCATACTTTAATAATTTTTCTGACCACTTAATCATATATTATAATTTATTATTTGTATTATTATTTAAAATTAATAGCAATAACCAACACTTGTTTAGTACTTTGACATTTCCGAAGTGCTTTTATATTCGTAACTCCTGTAATGCTCACAAGAAGAAAAAAATTATGATTAGCACCCATTTTACAGATGAGGAAACGGAGACCAAGAGAAATTGAATCCATCTTCCAAAGTCACAGGGCTGGGAAAGAGATTGTGGATTGGAATCCAGGAATTCCAGGTTCTATGGCTCCAAGAGCCTCTATGACAAGGCTGGGTGCCTTGTTTTCCCCACACTGAACTTGGCTTCAGACACTCTGCCTCTTAGCGCATGCAGGAATGCTGTCGACGGGTCTGCAGCAAGCTTCTGGTGAGGCTACAGAGCTGGGACTAGGATAAGACAAGTGAGGTGCCTAGGGTGTGTGCACTCTCCCCCCAACCCTGAATACTTACCCTTGCAACCCAGCCACCATGTTGTGAGGAAGCCCAAGCCACTTGGAGAAGCCATATGTAGGTGTTCCAGCCAATTGCCCCAGTTAACATTTCTGCTGGCAGCCAGCCTCCATCTCCAGCCATGTAAATAAGCAAGCCTTCAGGTGCTGCCAGACACCATCTTTGGTGTTTTCCAGTTGAGGCCCCCAGACATCACGGATTAGAAACAAGCTGTCCCATTGCACCCTCTTCAAATTCCTGGTGCCCCCAAATGAGAAAAAATAAATACTGTTGTTGTTTTAAACCATTAAGTTTTGGGGTAATTCATATCTCAGAAACAGAGAACTAACGACCCACCATATTTTCACATTTCCATGTTGCCTTTGTCTTCCAGATTCAAGAGTCCTTGTTTGTTAAACTGTCTTCATACAGGTTAGTAGCCCCTAGAAATTGGTGTATCACGTGTCTTGACTTGCAGGCCCAGACTAGTTCTCACACCCTGGGGACCATTATAAGGGTACACAAGGCTTATGGGAACACCCCCCATGGCGTTTGTGGCAGAGTCACAGAGTAAGGGTGGGGGGACTTAGGAGAAAGAAAAGAAAGGAAGGAGCAGTAGGAGGAAGGATCTAGAAGGAGAAAAGGAAGGGCAGGCATGGAGGAGAGGGGCATATGGCTGAGGAGGCTGGTGGTCCACCCCAGGTGGCCTGGGATTGCCCAGTCATTATTGCTGACTCCTTTCCAGGGAGGCCCTGGACGACCTTCCTCTCCCTGCAGGAAGCAGATGAGTCACACACACAGTCAGACAGGGTGTGGGCAGGTGTCTGCCTCTCCACCTCATGGCTGGGGACGCCAGCTGGGCATTGTCAAGTCCAAGATTGATTGAACCACCACTTCCCGCCTGGCCCTGAGCAAAGCTCTGGGAATGTGAGCTGCTCTAAGTCCCTGCCCTCAAGCAGCCAGAGTCCATTTGGGAGATAGAGTTAAAAACAGTCTGTCGCTCAGTGTTTTTTCCAAGGGGAGACTTCAGTTAAAATGTAGGTGGAAGTTCTGAAATACTGAGTGTGCATGTGTTGGGGCGTGGGGAGCAGTATAGCGAGGAGGAACCTTGCTGCATGGATTTAATTAAGACAAAAATACTGCTTTTTTATTTTGAAAGCACTTGGCTGATGTTAATTAACCATCTGGGACTGATTTGATGGTTGACTCCAGGGACTTCGGTAAATAAAATGAAAATAAATATTTGTCGATTGGGTGTGTTTCAAGTCTAATGGTTGGGCTTTAGTTAGGACACTTTCAGTGTGCTAACTAAAACCAATTCAAACTGGTTTTGGTAAAAGGACTTTATTGGCAGATGTCTCTGAGGATTCCAGGTCTGGGTTCCAAGACAGGCTTTGGGCTCAGGCATACTCAGGTTTCTCTCCATCTTCAGACTCTGTCTGCCACCAGGTTGGCTTCATCCTTGTGTTCCTCATGGTGGTCCTAGCAGCTCTAAGCTCTCCCCTCATGGTGGCAAGATGGCTGCACAGTGCCAGCCCTGCATCGTCCTGGAGTCACACCCCTCTTACCCAGCATGCCTAGCAATCTCTGATTGGGTCATGTGCCCAACACTGAAACCGCCACTCTAACTAGGGTGTAGGACTAGCCATGGAGCTGGAGCAGTGGAGGTGGGGAGGTTTGGAGCACCACACAAAAATGGGGCTTTCCTCAAAAAAGGAGGAATGAGTGCTAGGGAATAAAACTTAAATGGCCCTACACTGAGCCAGAGACAATGAGGACATCTCAGGGCCAGTGAAAGGCAGCTCAGCACCTGAGTAAAGTCAAGCCAGTGTGGTTCTGGGGTCAAGTTTAGATATGACCTCCACTACAGTGGCAGGGAGCCTTATTTGCCACCAAAAAAAAGTGTTTATTCTCCCATTATAGGGCATTTGTGACAGTCCTGAAGGGGTACCACTCACATCACCTTCAAGAGATAATTGCTGTTTAGCTGCAAAGACTGCAGTTTGCTTTAGAACTAAAGCCATGCCTTTGAAGGTCATCCTCCAGCCAATGACTAAGCATGGCAGGGGTACCAGAACTGGCCATTTCTGCCCAGTGCAGGACTCCTCTAGTGGACAATCTTTGCTGTGGATCTCCCTTTGAGATGACCGAGACTTTGTCACATCTGCTTTACAGTCGAAGGCTTGATCCCTGAACCACTGTGGAGGGTCTCATCAGGAACTTGCATGTGGAATGTTAGGCAAGCAAAAGAGTATCTTTGGTGGTATCTTTCTACATTGCAGGCATAGTTCCTTATAATTCCTACTCTTGTAAATACACATCTAAAAAGATGAAAATATTAGTCAAAAGTGGCTTGGCTACCTTTAAATGGTTGCCCTTAACAAAAGCACAGAATAACCCTGAAATTCCAGCCTTATTCAGTGTTTTAAATAATATTTTTATAGACATGGAACACATCTGTGGAAAAGAGTACAAAACATAAATGCACAAGATCAGTGACTTATTACAAAACAAAACAACGCTGTACTCACCACCCGGGTCAAGAAAGAGAATATTTTCTCACTCTAGAAGTCTCCTCCTCACTTCAGATTCTCAATAAGTTTTACATTCTAGGGTTTAATAGAAGAATCAAGTATAGAGTACTTTGTTAATGGACTGACACATCAGGTAAAGTAGTGAGAAACTTCCTTTTAATGACTTTGTTTGTTTGCTTTAAGCTTAAGGAGACAGTTTTATCTTTAAGATGTTTTCAAATCCCAGAACATTTTTCAGGTACTGGATAAAGAGAGGGGGAGGAAAAAGGCAGAAGTTAAATTTTGTTCTATCCTTGTTCAGGGGTTTCATCTTGATAAGCAAAGAATGTAATTAAAATGGATTACAGACTATTAAACACAAACAAGAGCAAAATGATTGCAGTGTGTGCAAGCCAGTAATTAAAGCTTTAAAAGAGGAAAAAGTCACCATCACTTATAATGTTTATTTGTCAAGGTTAGTAACAAATATTGACACGAAAGCTTTTTCCTTTTATTTTCTTCTTAGCATCAGGCTCTCAGCAATTAGGGGAGCATATTCCAGAATCAATAAGCCTCAGGTCTGAAGCAGTAGGATCCATGCATTTTAAAATTAGTTGGCAGAATAGCAGAGTGGCTCCATAAAGAAGACTTGCTTGCAACATCATTCAATTAGTGCATGCTACAAGATAAAGGGAAACAAGTCAGGAGCAGCATCTCCTTAAATTGGTTTTATCTCAAAGATACTCTTATAATAACCATTAAGAAGAGACTTCTTCTTAATTTATATTTTATATTTTATCTTTGGTATTGATTAAATTTAATTCACAAAGTGTAATGTTTCTTAAAATATGTGATTAAAAGCATGAGCTCTGCAGTCAAACTGCCCGGTTGCAAATCATAACTCTATCACTTTCCAACTGGGTGACATTGGGTACGTTGTTCGACCTTTCTGTCTCTGTTTCTCCATCTGTAAGAATAACAATCCTATTTACCGTACAAGGTACTGTAGACAGAAAATGGCATAATATACGCAAAAGTCCTGGCGTGCAGTAAGAGCTTATCCTCTGTTAGCTATTGCATTAGTCAGGATAGGCTAGGTGTAATGCAATAACATGTAAGCCCCTGACTCCCAGCAGCTTCACTCAATGAACTTAATTTCTCATTCAAGCTGTGTCCCCATCATGGGATAGTGGGGTGAGGGGTGGAAGAGGGCTGGGCTTCACATGGTCTCAGGGACCCATCATTTCAGAGCTACAACAAATGGCTACCTATACAGAGTAGAGGAAGAGTTACAGGAGAAACTCACTCAGGCCTTTCATTGCTACCACCTAGAAGTGACAGACATGACTTCCAATGTATCTCACTGTGCAGAACTAGTCTCCTGAGTTGTGTCGCGCAACCTGGAAAATATTAGAAGCAGGTAGAATGTGTAGTGAACACATCGTCTCTCATTTATTAGCGTTATAGGTTCTGTAATGGTTTTTACTGTGTGAAATTTGGAGAACACATTTAGACTTGTGATACAACTGAGTCCTCAGAAAACTCAATCATACAACAGCTATTCGTCGAATACCTCTGATAAAGCAATACTGTTCTGGGTGCGAGACACAGGGGTGAACTTGACCAGATAAAGTCATTTTGACTTTGTGGTATGAGTAAGTAAACCAGATAAAATCAGATGGCATTTGGTTCTAGCAGTGGTGGGTTGAGTGGCTGGTGGGGAGTGGTGTTTGTGCCGAGACCTGAATGGCAAGAAGGGGCCAGCCAGGGGAGATCTGCAGGAGAAGTTTTCCAGGCAGAGGGAGCCAGGTGGGTTTCACTGGTGGGAAACAAGGGCAGTATGGCCAGAGCATAGACAGCGAGGGGGAGGTGACAGAAGGAGGCAGGAGCTAGCTCATGGCTGGTTGCACAGGCCATGGGAAGAGGTTTGCAATTCAGCTGAAGGAAGCTATTGAAGGATTTTAGGCAGGCGAGGGAAACACTCTGACTTGTTTTCAAAGCTCTCTGTGGCTACTCTGGGAGGAAAGGATGGAAAAGGTAAGAATGGGAGCAGGTGGACCAATAAGGAGGCTGATGAGGTCTTCCAGGTGAGAGGTGGTGGTGGCTTGGGGCAGGTTGGGACAACAGAGAGAAGTGGTCAGATTCGGGAGACATGCTGGATGCAGAGTAGGTGATAATGTAACCAGCTTCATGACCCCAAGTCCTCCAACCAATCACCCAGCATCTGGATCAGCCAATCTAAGAATCCAACAAAACTTTCCATCCCTGGGAGGGCCATGGAAAGAGGTGATGCCCCTAAATCCTTCTACTTCTCAGAGGTCTCCCATAGGTCCCTGGACAAAAGCTCTGCCAAGGTCTTTGCAAATCTCACCCTGTAGTGAAAGACAAGTCAGGTCAGTGCTTGTTGAATGAAGACACCTAAATCTCTCATTCTTTTAGGTTTGCAGCCCCCAAACCTTCATCTTACATATTTGATTCCACTGCCAGGAGATCTAGCATTTAGAGCTTTGTGTGGATTAGAATCTTCTTTAAAATCCCATGCCCTTTGAAAATTTCCAACCTTCCAGCCAAGCACTGTTTTATCAGAAGTGTGCTTAGTATCCCTGGCAGGGCCTTAACTTGGAGGCCAGCGGTCTTGGCTCTGGTCTGCCCTCTCACCTGCTGTGGGGCTTGGATGATCTACCTGACTTCCCTGAAACAGTTCATGCCCCAGATATTTTCAAGTGAGAGGTACAGGGCCTCTGGAGACAGATAAAACAAAAGTTCCTGGCCTCAAGTAATTTATAGGAAGTTAGTGTAGATAGATGACCATTAACATTATTTTTCATTGTAACCCTTGTGACTTTTCCAATATTGGGAATCCTCCCTTATCTGGCTTCAGAAGAGGAAGTTGGTGTAACCTGGAATGCCTGCTGTTTACAGAGCTGGAAGCTGGTTCTCATATTTGATTTGCCCATCCAAGCAGTAAAATACCTGTAGACCCATGTCTGTGAGTTTGTACTCAAGAAAGGTTATAAATAACTCCTCTCTCTGGGGCTGTAATGAGGATTAATGAGATTTAAGGTCTTGCCAAGCAGGGATAAGGCAATCAGGAAATTTTATGATTCACAGGATAAATCATGTTCATTGGGAGTGATCTCTTTGGACCACCAGGGCAAAGGGCAGCCACCTCATCCTGCCGTGAGCCAAGAATGCTGAGATGATGTTGGCTAAAGAGCAGAACCGCTGGATGCTCAGGGCAGGGGGGAGGTGTGTGCTGCTGGTCAGGCAAAGGTCAGGCCCAGGACACGGGCTGTGGTCAAGGGGGAAGCGAGCTGCATCCCAGGTGCCTGCAGAGGTCTGCTGCAGACCAGCATGGGACGCAGTGAGGTGGGAAGGGGAGGGGGGCTCAGGCACATGATGGGAACAAGTGCCTGAGAATGAGAAATTGGCACCGTCTGGAAAATGGGGACGACAAGACCATCATTTTGGCTTATCATGAGGACTAGAGGAGCACTATCTGCCCTTGGGACTGCAAGCAACAGAATTTGAATTTATTCACTCAGCTAGCATGGAGCTGACTTGGTTTTCACTGTATGGTGAGATCTGCAAAGACCTGCTCACGACTTTCGTCCAGAGACCAACGGGAGGTCTCTGAAAGGCAGGGGTTTAGATGCATCATGTTTCCATGCCCACCCAAAGATGGAAGGTTTCAATGGGTCTTTGAATCAGCTGATCCAGGCTGGGGGTGGGGGTAAGGGACCTTGTGAAGGTGACTGCATCATCACCTCCAGAATGTCCTCCAAATCCGACCACTTCTCAAGACATATGAGTACATCAAGCAGGAGCATCTGTAACCCAGCAAGGACAAGCTTCTGCCTCTGTTCCTGGCTAGTGGGAATCACTAACAAAGCCAGAGGGTTAGCAGCAGTTTCTGGAGAGTAAATTCTAATAGGAAAATCCCTCTACCCAAGTTGCAAGCCATAATAGTTGAGAAAGGGATATGACAAGAAAAAAAATCTAGTTATGGAATTTTTTTTTATTTCACCATATTATGGGGGTACAGATTTTAAGGTTTCAATAAATGCCCTTTACCCCCCTCACCCCACAAGTCTGAGTTTCCAGCATGACCATCCCCCAGATGGTGCACATCTCACTCATTAAGTATGTATATACCCGCCCCCCTCCCACGTGCCCAATACCCTATTACTGTAGTACCTACGTGTCCACTTAGATGCTGCTCAGTTAATACCAGTTTGCTGGTGAGTATATGTGATGCTTGTTTTTCCATTCTTGGGATACTTCACTTAGTAGTATGGGTTCCAGCTCTAACCAGGAAAATATAAGAATTTTTAATTTGATTCATTCATCAAACATTAATTAATCACCTAAATGAGGAATTATGAAGGCTGAATTTAATCTGTAAGCAGTTTTTTTGTTTGTTTGTTTCAGGCATTGTTTCCCTGGATTTTTAAATGTGAATGTCATTAGATAGGCATTTATTCTCCAATGTGCCACCACTTCCAAGTGCCTTACACCTGGTCTGCCTCAGTCACTTAAATTACTTGCCTGTACTCTGAAATCACCTGACATATGACTCTTATCTGATCAGTGGTAGACTGGAGCCAGCTCATACTGACTGGTGAGAGCTGACTGTTACATTTTCAGAATTTTTTCAGGCAGTTCGCATCCCACTGGTAGCTTGAAATGAGTCGTGGAGGGAATATTTACACCACAGAAATTGACAAATGCTACAGTTTGTCAGGACCTTTTATTCCCCCAGGGCAAAAGCACACTGACACCTGAAATACTATTTTTAAAACTGGGCTAAGTAAGGGTTACTAGAAGAGCAGGGAGAAACAAGAGAGCTGCAAAGATAGATCTATTTCTTGCCTTTGAGGAGGTTATGATCTTTTGAAATATTGAATTCAAATAATTTCAAACTCATTCTCATTAAAAACCATCCTATCATGTTCTGTGCTGAACAGTGGAACTCAACTGTGGTGGTGGTGCATTGGCATGACATGGAAGCTTTACAACACCCCGATGTCTGGGACCTACCCCCAGAGCTCCTCCTTTAACTATGCTGCCTGCAGCCTGGCACCAGAACCCTTGAAGCTCCCTGGAGGGATCTACAGCGGAGCCAGAAGCATGTCTGGCCCATGATTATGAATACGATGCCCAACGTCTTTACAGGACCCATTCATGAAGTGCTTTCACAGATCCAGTCTTTGTGTAATCAGGGAAGACTAACTGCTCTAATAGCCCCAGTGGTGAACACAATAAGGGAGGTGTATGGTACAAAGAAACACAAGTGTTGGTGCCAGATGAACTTCTGAGTGACACTTGTCTCATCTGTAAAATGGGAACAATATGATAATCATCACAGAGTTCTCATGAGGATTAAAAGAATGTAGGATAATAGTAGCAACAGAATACCCAATTTAAAAAGCTTTATTATTTAACATAGCTAGAATTTTAGGGGTAGGGCAGTTTGTTGGTTCACTAGCTCAGCAAGGTTTTCAAAGGCTCAGCCTCTTTCCACATTTATGTCCTGCCCTCTGCAGGGTCTTTTGACTTTGGACTTGGGCTTGCCTCCTCATGTTCACTAGATGGCTACCACAGTACCACGCATTGCATGTAGACATGGAAATATCTGGCAAAAGAAGGAAATACTGCCTCTCATTTGTCACAGTTTATTGGGGTAGGAAACTCTTCCAAGAAGCTCCCAACAGTCTTCTGCTTGGATTCCACTGGCCAAGATGGAGGTCACATATTCTAGCTGCAGGGGAGCTAAGGAAGTAGGTTTCTGGTACTTTCAGCCTTTACCATGGCAGGTGGCTCTGCAGTCAAGATGGAAGGGGTGGGTAGGGGCTATGGAGGAAGTATATGAAAGGACCCTAGGCAATGCTTGCCACACACATAGCCAAGTATATTTTAGTTGCTCTTTATTTTCTCACCCCACCATTACAAACCCACCACATCATC